CGGTGATTTTAGACGATAGCGCACCAAACGACGGTGCTGTTAATGCAGTTGGGAACTGACAATTGAAGTCAAGCTGTGGCTTTGACGAATTAACATTCAAATATCTATGCGCACGCTAAAATGCACGTAAATTGGGTTCCAACATTTGGTGATTCGTAAAGTTTTGAGGCGCTTCCATCCATCGGATCCAATGATTCGCTCTTTTGAGGATAGATGTATGTTTAGAATTAGAATGAGCAACGAAGAATACCTGAATCGGACCAGATTCGTTGGTGCACCGAATGGCGGTGACGTTGGCTGATCCAGGGGTGATGGTGTCCCACCTAAACTACTCGCTGAACCAGAGCTGAAAGTTTTATGGTGTTTTCTTTCTTCATTGGAAAACTACTGTCTGCCAAGAACGTCGCTCAATTTCTACGAATGTCCTCTAGGAGATCTCATAAGATAACTCTTAAACGATCCATGCTCAGTTCTTAACGTGTCACCCGGAGGACGGGTCTCTTGTCCTGATTACAACGGTTGAAACGTAAATTCATCTCACCAATGTTACTAAGAGACTTAGAAATGTGTAAAAATTGAAATTTTTCAAGATTCTTCGAAACATTTTTGTTGATAACAGTCAGTATATATGCGAAAGGATAACATGAGATGACTCGGGAACTAGAAGACAATAGGGAAAGATTGATGAAGATGACCGAGCACACTAACCTGACTGTTCCTTGACTCCCCCTCCTACTCTCTGAAACAAGACCCTGAGCCAAGGCACCATAAGGTAGTTGAAACGGAGACGCAGCTTGAACTGAAATTCCATCAAATAAATCGCTTTCATTCCAAGACATCTTTGAAGCCAAGACATTGACTGTAACGGTCAAACTGGTGAATAATGCATCGTGTGTTTTGAGTCTCGCATCTGTTCTCGTAATCAACCACGCAAATCGTACCAACTCAATGTGAGTATCGTTCGTCATCAGTCGAAAATGAATTCTTCCCGTTTCCAAAAACGAATTTGAATTGATTTTCCGATTGATTTGTGACGACTGCTCTCAAATTGTCGGCAAATTGCAAAAAATCTCTTTAATCTTTTGTTCATACTGTAGTTTTTCAACGGCGGCGACATCAATGATTCGGACGAACAACAAGATGATGATCATCATAATACTACTAATCATACAATGAATACTTTAATGAATAAAGCAAGAAGGAATGAGAACGGCGCTGAATGTGATCAACAAATGCTTACATACATACATACATACACACGCTATTTTTGAACAAATGAAATTCTTGTGAAATTGCTTTCTTCGGGTTTCATCTTCGCTCCTTTTTTGCTTATGTGAGTGTACAGTTTGGTTGTTTGTTCGCAATCAAAATGAGTCATTCGCTCGATTTTCGTCAAATTTTTATCAATTGATACGCTTTCAAACTACAAAAGTTTCGGTTCCTTTTTCAGAATGCAGAAAATAACCATCCATTTTGACTTTCTCGACTCGACACGTCAAAAAAGGAAGTTACGAAATCGATGATGAGCACAAATTTGTGCAGATGGATAATGTGAAATGCTTTCTAGGGCATCCGTGTAGTGTGTGTGCTAACCAAGTGAAGTTCGATCGGTAAACTACGACGAATTTCGACCGGGATTCTGAGATTTGGATTCCGATCAATGAATGGCAAAGTTCAGTCGAGATGGCAAATTTCGGAATTTCAAATTATGTACTTGGTCGTACTCCGACTCATGAATTGCGATGTTCACTCTAGATATCGAAATTCGGATTCTCAAAATGTGAACTCGGTCGGCTTCAAACGATTAATTTTGAAATTCGATTGTAATTACCGAATTTGGGAGTGTTGAACAATCGATTCGATCGTATCGAATTCAAAATTCGTTCAGATGCCATAACTGCATACGTATGCATGGAAACTGTATCATTCCTTCCACAAGGTTCTCATCCAGCTTTCCTCATACGACGACGATTTGTTAACGGAAAAACGAAATCCGTCATGAAGCGTTATCAAAATGATTGGAATGATTTTAGATTGATCTGTTGATCAAAAACAACGCGGTAACGCGCTTTTGTACAAACGCATCTGATGGAGTAGCGATTTCGTGAACTCGAGGGAGTCTCTTCATTAGTTCGGAGATTAGTCAGGAAGCGGTCACTGCCATTACTAGCAATGACGAGTTCAGCTAAGGTTTCCTGAGCTTTCGTTCAGCAGCAATCGTAAAGCGTTTGCTAACCAGGGAAAGTTTTGGACTTAAAATAATTTGTCACATACAACGTATCAGTGATCTAACCTAGACGATGCATCAGTGCTTTCAGACTTCGAAAAACGGCAACATACTTGGCAAAAATTAAGCGCACAAAAGGAAGGACTCGTGACTCATTGGTGCGTACGTTCAAAATGATCAACACCAAAAAATTCTCCTGGCTGCTTAAGTAAGCCAAATCTCCACTAACGTCAATCCGTACAGAGTAAACAGGAAGTATTTACACTTTCGATGGATTTTTGTATTGGAATGAATACGATGAGTATTATTATTACTGCCATATCTGACTGTTTAGCGTTTGATGTAAAACATCAACAATGTATATGGGATATGTGGATGCACAAAAGTTGTCCACATTCAGCATACAGTTAAGTTAAGCGCGTTTTGCATTGCTAAGCCTATGTTTGTTTTTTGATTGCGCATAATAAATCATTAGATTAGCCAGAAGAACAACAACGGATTGTGCGTAGATATAATGCTCTAAACACGAACCAAATTAGCAACTGATCGCTTGCTTTGTTTTCCAGATATATTTTTAGGTGGTGTTTTTGATTGATTCATTTTTATTTTATGATACTGGTTGGCCAGTTAATGAAGACAATCTACAATAAGAGATGAATTTTAGACGCCATCACTTTCTTAATGAGCAAATGAGCAATTTTGTGCACGAAGCAAGACAGACAAACGTGTGACGGAAGTTTCGTTTGGATAATCAATTGCGAACAATATGAGAGCAGTGATTGCTGGCTGCTGGTATGTGTGTTGTTGGCAGAAGAAATGAATTAATGAATACTCATTAATTACTCTCTGTTTTTGTTTGCTCCAACATGCTATAGCTCATCTTTGCCCAATGTTCATTTGTCAATTTTCATGATGTCTTCTTGGAATTTTGCTTCAGTTTTAGCGATCAAAGTTTC